CTGTGTTTGCGTATTGGTTGGATTGGATTAGACGTGTGCAAAATGTGTTGGTTATGATCTACATTTTTACACACACACACACACACATACACACACACACACACACCCCTACTCACATTGACTGATCAAGCTGAACTAGTCTAAGAGCAACCTTATTTCACCTCTGCTTTCCAAGAGAGAGGTCCTGAATCAGTGCTACGGACTAGGAAGTCATTGACCTGGGAATGCCCTGGGAATGTCCTGTTCACCATGGCCCTGGTTCTGAAGGGATTCGATGTATAGTTCTGTAGAGAGACAGCTTCAGAAAGCATCCCAATTTTAAGCAGAATCACAGTCCCCAGCCCTGGAGCAAGGGAAATGTGGGAAAGGCAAGATGGATGCTGAATGACGTCAGCTGCTGGCTAAAATATCTGGCATACATGCTGAGGGAGGTTGCCAGCTAAATATTGTTTAAAAAAGATAAAATACACTCAAACTGTGCAGAATGTGGGGCTGTTATGTTTACATCCGGGTTTTAATGACTCCAAGCCGGCTCTTGGGGTTTTTCTCTTTTGCTGAAACGCTGTATGAAAAACACAGCTTTGTATAAGCCCTAGAGCTAGGGTGAAGGAAGGACTAAGGGGAGGAAGGGGAGGGAGAGAGAGGAGAGAATGGAAAAGAGGCTCCCCTCCCAGGCTCGGAAAAAGGCCAAAGGGGTGACTGACAGGCAGGGTTAGAGCTCCGCTCAAACTTCAAACCACCTTCTTTCCATCCCATTCCAGCTTTGTCTGGTTGAATCATCAGAGCTATAGCTGGGAAGGGTTAAGCTTTTCCAGAACATTTATTTCACCATCTCACAGAAAGAGGGGAGGGGGAAGATGTGTGTATGTGTGTGTGTGTGTGTGTGTGTGTGTGTGTGTGTGTGTACACGCGTGCATGACAGACAGAGAAAGAGACAGAAAAACAGGGAGACAGAGAGAAAGAGAAAAACAGGGAGAGAGACAAGAGAGAAAGAGAAAAACAGGGAGAGACAAACAGATATAAAAACAAGGAGAGAGACAGACAGAGAGACAGAGAGACAGAGAGAGACAGAAACCCTGCAGAGCTGAGAGGCTGTAGATCACAGGGCCATTCTGATAGCCTCCTGTCCCCATGGCAACTGTACGGCATTTATCAGTTCCTTATGAGAGCAGGCACCGCAAATCTGCATTGCACATGGCAGGCTTCCAGAATTTCAAATGAAAGAGCACTTTGAACTGCTGCCAAGTTTGGAAGGAGCAGGACTGTCAGGGCTGCTTAAAACTGGCAGTTTGTACTTGGGAGGCGTTCAGTTCCCACAATCCTTCAGGGCTGGCAAGCTGCCAAGGACTTAGCGGAAGCTAAAAAGTAACTCCCTCCCTCCCCCTTTCCCCTCCATACTCCCCCCCTCCTCCCTCTCCTCACGCTCCTTCTCCTTCTCCCTCCCCATACCATTCACTGCAGTGCACTCAAAATTTTCCACATGTCCTGTGTCACAAGTGCAGATTGTACAGTGAAAGCAAAAACCCAGCCGGCTGCCTGGGATTCTGTTTTTATTAATAATCCAGGGAGAAGGGGGAGAAAAGGAAAAGGAAAAGCAGTTTCAGGTTAACTGGCTAGCTGAAGGTGGCATAGTGGATGCCCTGTACCTGTAAAACACTGCTGTTGCTGGGTGTGTGTGTGTGTGTGTGTGTGTGTGTGTGTGTGTGTAGGGGGAGGCAAGTGAGATGTGTGTTTGCATTTTACAAAAACGGCTGCTTAGATCTGCAGATAGCCCAACAGCAAGGACTTTAGGGAGGGAAATTGGGTAAGGGGAAAGGCGGCAAGGAGAAAAGACCAGCTTTGGCTCTGTTGTTTGCAGTATTATTTAGGCATCATTTATTACAAAGTATTACCAAGTGGTGATACTTTCCTGAGACAAGTGGACAGTGTCTTAGTGGTGGCAACTCTTTCACCTCTTGTCTCTCCCTCCCCAGTATTTTGCTGAGATGGGGAGAATCTCTGAGACCAATCCCCGGGTGAATGCTGTAGAAAAGGAAGTGGGGGTTGGGGGTGGAGGAGAATGAAGGCTGGCTTTTAAATGGAGAGTTTTCATGAGAATTTCTGACAACCACATATTGCCCAGAACACTAGGACTTCTGCTGGCAGAATCCATGAATTGGCACAGTACTCTCACTGTTCTTAATTTTTAAAATATATAATTAAAAATGTTTTTAATGTACAGGGAGATCAAGGGCCCAGGCTTTATTTTCCAGCACTAGTCATAAGCCTTTCGTACAAATAGAATGAAAATTGTCTGTCGCTCAGGCAGTTGGATAGAGTTCAGGAAAACTATGTCTGGCATTAATTCCAAAGTGCAGGTTTTGGTTCAAGCCAGGCCCATTAATTTCAGTAAACTGTTTTCACTAGTCTAGATCCCACTGTGCAAAGACTATTTATTACCTTTTGCTAACCTGATGTCTGCAGAGTTGTAAAGTAAATGAGGGAAAAAAAACCCAGGGTGGAGATATCTCTATCTCTGGCTCAAATGGATTTTGCATCTTTCCTTTGGGAACCATGTTTTATAGCTGCTTTGCTGTTTTTTTTCTTTGCCAATATGAGTATTCCCTATTCCTTCCTCTTCCCCGCCCCCAGCATATCTTGCAATGAATTGGGGAGCAGGGAGAGATCCTGAGGGTGATTGGATGGGTTAGCACTGGAGCAAGCACACACCCCTCCTACCTTTCTCGAGAGTTACCTCCCAACCTCAGAGATGTTTTGTGCTCTTCATGATTCCCTGTTTCTCTAGGGTACAGCCTGAAACCCTGACATGATTCACCCAAGCAATCTGGTCTACAATATACCAAGACAGTCAATTTTGGCATCTGATCTCCCTTAGGAATTTTACTAGCTGCCTTAGAAAAGAAAGTAAATTGCTTTTTTTGTTGTAGCTATTCCCTTCCTCCACCCCCTCCTCCCTTCTGTATTTATTCTACCTTTCCTCTCCTAGTCTCTGCCCAACTTAATGTCATTTCAAAGGGATGGGGGAAAGGGAGGTAAAGAAAATTCCCCAAATGTCTATGTATTTGTTGGACAGTACACTCTGTGTGTGTCCTTCTACCATCTCCCTCCTGACAGCTGAGAGTGTTAATCAGAATTAAAAGCCAGTCAATACTATTAAGTCATCAGATGGGAGGCTTGGTAGAGAAAGATGGGGGAGGGGGAAGAAGAAGGGATGAGTGTTAATGAGACATTCAATTCTCTTCTCTATCTCACCAAAAGGGAAACCTGGCGAAAAGAAACTCATTATATTATAGTCTTGTCAAATAACCAAAAGTATTGGTCTTTTTAAACTTGATTTTTTTTCCACTCCAAATGCAGTAAAGTTTTCCATTCTCAGTGGTAGAACTAGAAATGGAACTATGTTGCTTGGCTTGCTGGTCTCCACCAAAAAAAAAATCTGTCAGATAAAAGTAGGTACCTGATTGAGGGTAGTAAAGGGATTGGCAGGGGGAGTTCCTATGTTAGGAGAGCAGGGCCTGAGGAAAATGACATTGCTTCCAACTAATCTAACCTTTGACAGGCTATACAAAAAACTCGGCTCTAATCTGGTGGAGATAGATTTGGGGGTGGCTCCTATTTCTTTCCTTTAAGTATGTACCCAGACAATCATTTCATAATTTCTGCATGTCATGTTCAGTTCATTCAGGACTTTTGATGAACATTAAACTTGGGAAAGGATATGGAGGTGGGTAACAACCTCAAATACACCTATGAAGTTTCCAGCTCACAGAGAGTGTTTGCCCAAAACAGAATAGGGATGCCCGGCTCATTTTGAAGGCCCTGAAATCTAAGGTTCTTTCTCTATAAAGTCTATGAAATGAGTTCCGATCCACAGGGACTTTGCTCAGCAGAAAGAGGACCCAGGCAGCCTTGAAAGTATAAGAATGGGATGGAGGTAGAAGTTCTCTAAGGCGTAAGAGGAAAAACTGGAGCTTTGTAGAAAGGAATGGGGGAAAAAATAAAAGAATGGGAACTGTTAGATGTAGGCTACCGGTAACAGAACTTGTTAGGCAAGGAAGTTGGATTTTGCATTATTGAAGGTTATTGTGTGGGCACTGAGGCAGAAAACCAGTAATACGAAAAAGGGGGAGGGGAGAGAAAACTGGTAATAAAAAAAATGTGCAGAATGATAGGCTGGAAACTGTCATTGAGGAGAACAGCAATGCCACAGAATAAAAGGATAACTAATTGATTACCATATACACAAGGAATTAAAAAATAAAATAGAGAAACCGGCTTAATAAGCCAAAAAGGCAAATCCTCTTCCCAAATCCAACCACCACCCTCCCTCACTTCTCTACCTACCCACACTGTCTGACCCCAAGGACCTGTTTACTGCCCTGGGCCCAACAAGTTCTGAAGTGCTCTCTGCTGAATTTAATTAAATCGAGAATGATAAATCTAAAACACCTAATTACATCCTTATTTTTTGCTACTCACTGTTTTGACACTTCCTGTCAGTTCTGTCTCTAAAGAAGAGGTCGATGACTATTCATCTTTAAATCAACCAAAGCAAAAGCGGCAACCCCAAGCAAACTCATCAGTCCCTAAATTCATTTCCAGTAGGGTTGTGGAAAAGCCTTACCCAATCTGGGGGCATATAAAATAGGAGAGCAAAAGACAAGTCCTCAGGTCTTGTAATTTTGCCATTTTCTCTCTCTAACGCCCCGAGGTTAAAGGACAAGGCTTTCTTATTTGGCCTCAATAGAGTAAGCCCACAAAATATGTTAGACTAGCCTCCAGATACTTAACTCCCTGGTTTTCCCTCCACAAACCAGTAGCTGTCAGTCTCCCTCGGAGGGAAATGCCCTTTCTGCAGGTGCCTAACCCTAAGAAAGTGTTTTTGAAAAATACTGTTCCCTGGTTCCTGCCTACGGAATACTTCTGCGACACAATTTTACCAAGCTGTTTGTGGAATTGAAAACATAATTAACACCTTGCGTTTGTATAACGCTTTAAACTTTGCAAAGTGCTTTCGCCGACATTTATTATATCTTTTGATCTTGGAGATGGCTAGAACAGGTAATATTATCTCCATTGAACTCATGGGGAAACTGAGAGTCAGAAAGGTCACTATGGGATTTCTCCAAGCATAATCAAGAAACAAACACAAAATAGATCCCAGAACTAGACTGCTGCTCTTTTTGCTAGGGGATTTAGTAGGGAAGACAAGTACATCTAGAGACAGATTACTCAATTCCAAATCTCCAGATCAAGCCGGGTCATCTAAAGATCACCAAATAAAGATTCTCGGGCCAGGATACAGATCTGGAAAGAATTTCAGAAGGGAACCTCATTGCTAAAGGGGTTGAGGGATGTGAGGGTCTGGCGATCAGGCCCAAGAACATAGTAGGAACTGCAAAAGGTGCTGTACAGATTCAAGATCTCCAACTGTTGGGCAAATATTCCAGTTGCACAAATGACGCTTTAAGCCTTGAATGGAGAGTCTCTGTTTCTCGCTGGTCTTAAATTTAAGGTGGGGAATCTGCAGGAAGAATAGATGGTGGGATTAGGTGACTATCTGGGCTGGAATGGAAACAGGAAGCCAATTTTCCTTCCCATTCTCATTAATCATTTCTCACAATTTCTAGCTCAACCCGAGACTTATTTCCTCTTGTCATTCAAAACCAGTGGGTAAGTTCAAGTTAAAGAAACGGTTGGGCAGAGGTGGACAGAGACTTACTGAAGGAGACTGGTGCTCCTCCCAAAATAAGCGTCCTCCTCTCCCCCCACCCCTCCCTGAAATTCCACCATTAGGATTCATTCCTTTGCTAAGTATCTTCCTCACCCAGGGGTCCTCTTTTAAAATGCAAAAAACTAGGTGGAGGAGTGTAACACAAAAAGTCCCTAACACTTCGGTGTGAACAAATTCTTCAGAACACTCCGCCCAAGGGAAGAATATGCAGGATGGCGCTAGGTTGGAAAGGGATGCTCTTTACAAACGTTAATGCGCTATATGAATGTGAAATTATTGCTTCACTGTTTTGCCTAGAGCCAGCCATCCGAGTGTGGTTAACGACTCAAAAATAGTAGGTGATTAGACCCCCGCTTTGGATCTAATTTGCATGGTGTTAATTTAAAATAATGGAGACCCTAAATCTGTGCTCCATCTCCCCCTCCCCCTCCCGCCCCATCCCGTTAAGTCCCTGACGTCACCTTATGGTAGCCTTGGTCTGGCCAAAACAACTGGTGCCTTTTTTGCTGCCCCTGGGGCTTTCGTGAGGGGAGACCGTGCAAGTTATCTAGGAACAGATTCCCTGTTTCCAAGTCACCCTATCAGTTGGGGCTATCTGAATATTTAATGCACCTACCTGGATTGCAGCACTAGTTAGCTGCTGCTTCGAGATTTTTAAATACAAAGGGGATGGAGAGCACGCAGTGAGAGGAGCGCCTGGGCTTCCCAGTTTAAGGCCACTCTCTTCGCCCGAGATTGAAAGACTCGGAGAAGGGCCTCTGACACAGTGACCCCGGAAATCCCCCGCCACAGTGAAGTTGTGCCCTGAGCTTGTTTAGCTCCAGGGCTGTTGGGCAGTTCTTGCATCTTCGCTGCCTCTCCTCCCCAAGCTCCCGGTTGTGATTCGGGGTTCAGACCCAGAAGGCACGTGGATCGACTGCTACTCAGCCTATACTCCTCCACCTCTCTCCTCTTCAAAAGCCGACCCCAGTGTTGTTTTTCCCCCCTCCCCATCTTGCTATCTCCCTTCCCCCTCGTCTCTCTCCTAGTGTATTTGTTTTAACTCAACCAAGCGTCTGAATAGTGTCATTGTCTAGTGCTTCCCTTTTCTCTCTGCTCCTCCCTCACCGCCCCCCGCCCCATCCCGTAAGACTCATTCCAGGATTTCTTTATTTTCAGATCTAAATAAACACACCAGCTTTTGCTGAGGACAGCTCTGGACTCCCCCGATGCCCTGGCAAAGTGGCAAGGGGAGGAAGCTGTGAAGGGAGGACCGAGAGGCAGGAACCAGACGCGACACCCCTTTCTTTCCCCCTCTCTCACTCGGCCACCTTCCCCCGGAAGAATGTAGTCAGAGATTTGATCTTCTCTTGCAGCTGCACGGCCAGCGCCACCATCAAGATTTCATTTTCTCCTTCCAGCCGACTTTAGCCCCCGAAAGCCCCCACTTCGCTAGCACGCAGCCTGGCTTGGCAAATTTCGGAGGCACAGGCTCCTCTCTTCCTGATTTTCAGATCGCAGCTCCTGCTGCGAGCCCGTGTTATTGCTGGGATTTCACGGTCGAGTGGCTCTTGCGTAACCCCAGCCCTGGCCAAAGTAAAAAAAAAAATCCGGGATTAATCATTACGGAAAAGCAAACACACTTCCGCCCCACAACACGTCCTGTTAGTAAAAGTAAATCATGGTTCAGTCTCGTACCAGTTGCTGATTTTACACGTGTGTTAATCCCCAACCCCTCCCTCCCCTCCCCCAACCTATATGTCCATGGATGTACAGGCTCCTGCATTCATTTGCCGGGCCACTAGGAGCTGACACAGCCCGTGAGGGATCGGCGAGGCCTGATCCTATCTAAGGTGCTTATTATTTACACCCACTATAAAGGCGGCCCTTGTGAGTCTAGTCGGCCTCGTTTACAGAGGGGTGAGTGTTTCCAAAAAAGGCCTTTCTCGGAGGAGCTCTCAGCGGAGTGAATAGCCCAGAGGTGACTGGAGGTTCAGGAGGAGAGTAAGAGAGAGAGAGCTCTTTTTTTTTTAAAACGTATTTTTATTAGTGCCAGCCGGATAAAGCAGTGGCGCCTCGTGGAGAAGTCAGCAGCAGAGCAGGAAAGTGGAGGGCAGGAAGAAATTACAAGATCCAGTGTGTGCCCAAGGTCGGGAAAGAGGATGGGGAGCTAGCTGGACGCGTGGGCAACCGGGCCGAGAAGGGGCTTTTTCAGAGTGTTTACATCTCTATACCAAACGTTAGCCCGTTCCCTCTAAAAATCAACCAATCAGCCCCCCGCACTCTGGGGAAACCTTTTATCTGGATTCTGGGCTCAAAACACGGTGGTTTACTTGAGTGAGCTCTCCCAAGTGCCCCATGGAAGCCCCGCCCGCAGAGAGCTCAGTCATTGCGCCCTCAACTTTCTCCCCCAGCCGAAACAACCCACTCGTTAAGTAAGGAGGATAGGGAAGACAGTCGAGACTGTTGGTTCAGAAGTATTTGAAATAACGCTTCTGATGAAGTCCACCTCACCTAGGGTGAGAGGCTGCCGTTGGATTTATGCCCTAAGACTTAAATGGCACTTCACTTGGTATCCCCGGTGACTAAGCTACCTAATTTCGTTAATAAGGTGCACTACTGCTGTTTAAAGTCTGGGACCCCCTCCCTCTTACCCTTCTTTCCACCCGCCTCTGCGGCAAGATTCTCGGAGTATTCCTTTTTTGTCCAGAAACCCGACATTGAAATACGCTGTTGATGTACCTACTCCTCTTCCTGTACGAATTATATGTCCCTATACCCTTGGTGCTATCACATCACACCACCACACCACCACCACCACCACCACCCCCTCCACCCCGAAGCCGAAGCTGAGGATGCCTCAGTCAATTAAGATGCAGGAATGATAAATGGTGGTAATTCCTAAGGGGGAAGGGGAGAAGCTTCATCTGGAGAAATAACACTTTTTTAAATTAAAAGATTATGAGAATACAATGGAAGGATGATTTATTTCCACCTCCTACTGTTGTGTATACGATATGTCTATGTCTGCATATGACTACATATGATACATATATGCCCCAAAGTTATTATATAGACACAGACATGTATGCACATAGCAAACATGACTGTGAGATAAAATGAGCTCCTCACATAAATCTTGGCAAAGAGAAGGTAAATTGTCATTTTCTAATGTTTTGGTAAAATGTAAGGATAGGCTGAATACATACTAAGATACAGAAGTGGGTTAAACAAGTAACTAATGTCCTCCAGGTTTATGGGAATGTCACACAATCCTCCCCCTTCACACCCTCATATATATTGACTCACCCTGGGGTAACCGGTTACATTGCAATGGCTGAAGTATGTGTGAGTGATGCAATACTCTGTTTGCAGGCCTTTGTAGAAAAATAATTGCCATGATCCAGGCAGGGCTGGCAGTGAAAGTTTATTATTGTTGGGGAGTGGACAGCCTTTTCATTGTTTTGCAAAAACAGAAACCGACTGCAAAGGGAATAAAAGGCAGGGGTCCCCAGAGCCATCTTTGCCCTTACTGCTCCTTCCCTTATAAAATTTTTCCCCTAGGAGCTGAAGCTCCAGGGTGGTGCAATAAGGCTGAGGTTCTGAGAAGGTAGTCCTGAGAGTGGCATAAGGGGGGAAGGGCAGGATGAGATTGCCATATGTTCTAAAGAATCCCTACCAAAAGAGTATTTTCTTGTTTTCAATAGTGCATTTTCAAGAGAAGTTCCTCCCTCCCCTCCATGATTTGGCAGGAACCTCTTAAATACATTAACATAGGCTGATTTAAGCAAAGTGTTTGTTGTGCTATAAGGTAAATGTCTTAAGCAAAGGACATTCTAAGGAAGGAGGCAGAATGGCCATGGCACTATCAAATGAGCTTGAGTTCTAAAAATGCAATGTATTGTTGTTACTAAAAGGAGGGAATCCTGTTTCCCTTTCCATTAGCAAACACATAAATTACTCACCTGTTTGGCCTCTCCAACACCCTTCAGCTATACAAAGAGCCCAGGTTACACTGCTGCCTGGTTTCAAGACTCAGCATCTTGTGGGCCACTCTGTGCCAGAAAAGAAAAATGGGATAGCTCAGTCTGTCTCCACCACCAACATTCATTCAAACTCCAGTTCCTATGGTCCCTTGATCAAGAATGGAAACCATTAAATAGGAAACAGAGAATGAGACTGCTAAATAGCTAATTTTGTTGGTGCTGTGCATTTTGGCATTAACATTGGAAAGCTATACAAAATAACCGCACGGAAAATGGCTTGATCCCTGTTAGAAAACTCTAAATGTGATGGGCAATGTGTCTTATGAAATTTACAGCTAAAATTCTGAAACGAGACGTTTGAACTCACGGGGGGGGGGGGGGGAAATGATGCATGTTTCCTGAATGTATTATCACATTGGAAAGCTGGGCATCGGCTGGGGAAGGGAAGGGAGAGAAAGATCATCTTCTGTTTAATTTCCAAACATAGCCCTGGGTATTTCTTCATTTGATTTCCAGCATTAACTTGCATTGCTTCAGCTGTTGTACACACAGAGTCCGGGGGGCGGGGAGAAGGGGGAGGAGGGGAAAAGGCTGAGAGGAATCTGGGCTGCATGCCGGGCATGCGCATTCTCTATGCAACAAGTGGGCTCTACAGACAGAGGAAGTGTAAGGGGGGGGACACTGGTGCAGAGCATGGCGGTGACGTCACCGCTCCGCCCGGGCGGCATCCCGCGCGGCTGAGCCGGGGACGGCGCGAGCTGCAGCCCGAGCGGGAGCGCGAGACGCGTCTCTGGAACGTAGAGTAACAATCACAATCCCCACATTCCAATTCCGAACGGGATGTGACAGGAGGCAGAACCGACGGAGAGCCATGCACCCTACGTGAGCTACGGCAGCCGCGGCAGCCGGGGACGGGGCCAGGGGCTGCTGAACCCCAGGCTGCTCCTTTCATCTGGTGTGCGTCCGGGAAGCAGCGGCGGCGGCTCAGCGTGTGCAAAATCTTACAGCCACCAGGCGGAACATCCAGTGCGGCAGGAGGGCCAGGACGGTTGCCAGCGGCTCCCCTTAAACCCTTTCTCCTGTTGCCGTCTCTCTTCCCTTCCTCTTCCCCTTCCCGTTCCTCTTGTTCCTCTTCCCTCCGGAGAAGCAGCAGCAGCCAGCGAGAACGGAGACAAGCCGAGGGTAGAGTACTGTAGCCCTTAACGCCTCTCTGCCCCTTGCCCAGGGACGAGGACAGAAACCGTAGCGAGGAAAGGCAGCAGTTGACAGTAACAGCGGGACACTACGTTCTTACCCCACCCCACCCCCTACCCCGTTCCCAGCACCCCTGTCCCAGGGGCTACAACACCAGGAAGAAGTCGACAGATTTCCCCTCCCCTACCAGAAAGCTGCAATAGGAGGCGGGGGCAAGGAGGCAGCTATTCTGCCACCCAGGTGGTGGAGCAACCGCCGAGAGGCGCAGCGGCAGCGAGTGGCAGGAGGCAGAGTCTTCTCCCCTTTCCTTCTCTACTCCTTCCCCCGCCCGCCAGCCCTCCCCGGAGGAGAAAGAGCAACAGCAGCCTGGGCGGGTAGGGACCAATCTACCCTTCCCCCCCCTCCCCTCCCCCCCTCCCCCGGGCCGGCATCATGTCCTCGGCGCAGGTGGCTTCCTCTCGGAGACAGTCGTGTTACCTGTGCGACCTGCCCCGCATGCCCTGGGCCATGATTTGGGACTTCACAGAGCCAGTGTGTCGAGGCTGTGTCAACTATGAGGGTGCAGACCGCATCGAGTTTGTGATCGAGACAGCCCGGCAGCTGAAGCGAGCCCACGGATGCTTCCAAGACGGCAGATCCCCCGGGCCGCCGCCACCGGTCGGGGTCAAAACCGTGGCCCTTTCCGCTAAGGAGGCAGCGCAGCAGCAGCAGCAGCAGCAACAGCAGCAGCAGCAACAGCAGCAGCAGCAGCAGCTTAACCACGTTGACGGCTCTACAAAAGCCGCCGTCTTGGCCGCGCCGTCTGGCCTAGAGCGCTACGGTCTGAGCGCAGCCGCAGCAGCAGCCGCGGCGGCGGCAGCTGCGGTCGATCAGCGAAGCCGCTTCGAGTACCCTCCGCCCCCGGGAAACTTAGGGGGCAGCGGGGGCAGCGGCCACGCCGCCAGGCTCCCCAATGGGCTGGGCGG